CACTGCACTAATTCAGTTCATCTCTCTGAGCAGCGTCTGCCAGAAGAGCTCCCGTGGAGCCTGGCCCCAACTTAATGCCGTTCCTTGCCCGTGGCAACCTCAAGGGAGGGTAGGCAGCAGCAGAACCCACCTAGCTTCCCTCAGCTCAGCTGAATCCCCTCCTGTCCTCCTTAGGGGAAATCCAGCTCTACATCCAGTAGCCAACGATTTATTTTGGTGGTGGGAGGGTAGTCTGCAGGGGCTGCTTAAGGTGGGTACCTCTGTACACTGTTCCGATGTCACAGTGAAGGATTGTGGCCTCTCTCATTGTAGAGTCACTGATGCAATTCATCTCCATGGAACAAATGCCGGGCTCCTTGGCTTTCCGGGGACACAGCGCCTGGCCCTCCAGAGTGACCTACTTCCGTCTCTTCACAGATGGTCTCTTGCTGAGGATTAAACATACTAAAGATTCACATATAATTTAATGATATTTAAAAAAAAAATCCCCCAAGGGACACAAACACCCAGGCATGCTGCTGCTCTCTAGTAGCCGGAAAGGGTCATCGTCGTGTTTCAAAAGCGACAGCACGTGATGATAACATGGATTAGTCAGTCAGTATATTGATGAAGGCATCAAGAGAGGGTTTGCCGCATACAGCAAACCATATATAGCCCGTGTCCTTGAGCTGGAGGGGAAATGCTCTCAATAACTCTCTCCACAAACTCACTGCAACCAAGTGTTGGGGAAACAACGTTTCCTGCCGTAGTTCCACAGAGAGGAAGGTTGCATCTGATTAGTGCTGCCTTCTCAGTAACGTTTTGGCAGCTTCCTCAGCACAGGTAAATGCCCAGCGAGGGTGAGTCTGACTGTGGTTTTCATGTGCCAGAGGGAGCCACCCTTGGTCATTGGAGTGCTAACAGCACTTAGCGCACTGAGTGATCTTCATCTCCCAAGAGCTTTACAGGCTGCTAACAAGTCCTCTCTGGCCACCACTGCGAGGGAGGAGAGGGAATACAGCCCTATTCTGCAGACGGGGGAAACTGGGGCAGGAAGGTTAACGAGTCCCCCAAAGTCCCCGAGTGAATCTGGGCCAGGGGCAGGAAGTTCACGGTGCTCAGATCCATTCGAAGGCTACGAGATCGTGTCCATGGGGAGTTGTAATTAGGCCAATCGCATTTTTACCAATGATGTCAGTTGCTCAGCTGTGGGATGGCTGCAGTACATTGACCCTGGCAGGACATTCTGCTCTCACAGGGAAGCCTCTTCCAACAGGCTGTTCTCTTGCTGAACTTTCCCTGGGCCGGG